AGGATTTAGGTATCTTACACCCCCCTCCAATGCATGATTTAGGAAATCTTACACTCCCCAAATCCATGCACGGTTCAGGTAATCTTACACCCCCCTCCAATCAATGCAGGATTTAGGTAATCTTACATCCCTCCAATCCATGCAGGATTTAGGTAATCTTACACCCCCCTCCAATCCATGCAGGATTTAGGAAATCTTACACTCCCCCAAATCCATGCACGGTTCAGGTAATCTTACACCCTCCTCCAATCAATGCAGGATTTAGGTAATCTTACACCCCCCTCCAATCCATGCAGGATTTAGGTAATCTTACACCCCCCTCCAATCCATGCAGGATTTATCTGCATACTAATTTTATCTAATTCTCATCCCATAGCCACTCATGGGAATGCTGAAGAAGGTCTGCTTGGCACTGTCACATTAGTTTTTGGAAGAGAAAATTTCGTAAACAGTTTTTCTGTGATTTTCTACATTTTCATAAAGGCCAGAAAATGTAGATGAAGTGAATTGATGTTTTGTTTTCCGATATAAATGTATACAGAATGTTGGAAAGTGCAAATGAAGGTGGGACGATGACTGTCAGTCACAATCTCTCAATTTTTTATTTCATTTTTTTACCGACCTTTGATGTTTTTGATCTTTTCCATTAAGCTGTCAAATTACCCCCAAATTGTTGGCCCAAAAAATTGGATTACTGAAAAGATACCCTTGGATTTAATGTTAACTACCGTGAATCAACTGAAGCAGAAAACCGATGGTTTGTCATCTTCACCTTCTGAAAGCACCATTAGGCCACAATTTTCATATGAGAGTCGGTTGTAATATTACTTAGTACATTGTTGTGAGTGTAATATTGGGGTTGTTAGTGATTGTGGTTGCGTTGTAGAGGCCATATATCACAGCGTGACGCCAAGATTACCAACCGAGCCAGACAACACTAATACCATTCATGCTGACATCATCAGCAATTCACCATTGTACATATACATATTATATAATATACAAAACAATGGAAATCTACAGAATGAATGTGTGGGATGTGAAAAACATTTTTTTATTATATAATCCTAGATTTGTTATTGTTTCATAACAATACTTATTTTGTGCATTTGTAATTTTCCTATTTTTTGATGGATTTACGTATATTGGGTTGATTAGGTGATTACTGCCTGGGTGGTGACAAATTGGGATGGTCCCCCTCTGTGGGAATGATGATGCGAGAAGGGAATTTGACAGATTTCAAACTATTGCATATAAGTCTTAATATGTTCTTAAAATGTCAGTCTTTTTTGATGTCTAAATTGGTATTCTCTGAGGACACCGATGTGATATAACCCATGTTACATGTAGAGAGTGATTGCTACTTCCACTGTACTCAGCATTGAGACTGGTATGCGTTGATTGTTTGGCTTTGGGGACTGATATCTGAATACTGTTCTCAACATGCACACGAGGGTGATCTGTACAATGCATATCAAAGTGGACAGACCTTCTGATAAATTCCCATTGTTCACTTCAGATAAAACACATATTGAGTCCTGATGCAAAAGCACTGTTATATATTCTGATTTTGAAAAAAATCCTAAGGCTAGCTCGTATTCTATTGTTCTTTGAGCAGACAAACGTGAAATTCATGAAAGAGAACAATGAGATTTTTGAGTGTATTGTGTAATTATGACATATACTTATCTATTTTTCACACCTGCTATCTTATGATATTTCACGAATAATGCCTTATTTGGGAAGAAATGGATACTTTTACTGTCTCGCTTGGAGGTGGTATCTCCTCTGGCTGTTTTGCAACCTTTCAAGAGTTTTTAACACATTATTGGAGTAAAGAAATACCTATCAATCATACTACAATGAAATAGAAACGCAAGACAACTGTGAAATAGTTGAACAAAAATCAGATAAGTCATGTGAGTTGTAAAACAATGCCAGTGTTGGTGATCAGGTGTGCGTAATGCTGGGCAAATCATTTTCTCACAATGGAACTAAAAAGATGCATGTTTTTTTTTGCTAATTCTACATTAAAATACCATCATAAAGTTGACTTTCACTTAAATCTGTTTTGTTTAAATATTTTGATTCATCAAAGCAAACAGTACTTATGTAATTGTAATGGGAAACAAATATCACTGTGTGCATATTCATCAATAACCCTGTCTGCTTCGAATCTATACTCGTACATCAGTTTTATCTTTCAATATTTGATATCTAAAAGTAGAATGTCAATTTGCACAAATTCTGACCAGGTCTACGTGATGGAAGTCAACCAAAAACATCACATTTCCTGGCAATGATAAAATTGTTCATAGGAGCATAGGAGATTTTTTTTTACCATTTATGTTGCATCTAAAATGGTGTCAGATAATGATAGATAATAGGGGAAGGTTTCTATCGGCAGTGGGTAGACACAAAAGATCACCAATACGATCTGTCACTTAGAAGGCCCATCTTTTGTAATCATAGGTTTGAGAAGTAAATTCATTCAGGAAAGGTATAGTCAGTGGATATTATGCGACTCACACTTCTTGCAGTTTAAAGTGAAAGGATGATAATGCAGGAAATACAGCAGTGCAGTGAACGGCAATGAATAATGCAGTCCTAACTAGTCAAACAAAGGGAATTTGAAAGACAATAGCGAGAGGAATTGCTTCACTCTCCCTAAAGGACTATGAAGTGGCAGAGATAGTGGAGAAATAGAAAGGCTATGAGATGAAAATGGTAGATAATGAAAATGCATTGTCGGATGTATGAAAATTAATAGTAGTAAAGGGACTGACTGAATCGTATGCGTTAGAAGGAGGCACGTTATAGGATATAATAAACAATGTCTATTCTCGTTTGTAAGTGATATGATAGAACCGAATCAGTGCACAATACCCAAACTTAGCAGCGACCATAAAAATTATCAGATACAATACGTTGGGTAAAGTGATGTTAAGTGACATTTTGCCTCCTAGCAAGTTACATGCAAAGTGTTCCACGTAATCAATATATACAACACGATGGAAAAAAATTGTTACAGATTTCTTTATCTAACCACGATCGGACTTTAAAAAATATTATAGGATACTTTGGCATATCACGATTTGTTGAGTTATTTTGTCTTTCTATTAAAAATGAATGAGATTGTGCTGTACAAATAGTTTCCAACTCCTACATACCACCTCCACAAACATGGGAAAATAATACTGCTATGGAAAATAATACGATGTATTACTGCTACATATGCAATTGGGAGATCAGATTCTCTTTTGGTGGGATTGATTTTCTGTTTCAATTTTTTTTGGTGACATGTCAGTAATGAAAGAATAAAATATCATCTGAATATTTGGAACAAAAGGGATTATTTTTGAGACTTCTATTTGTTGAAATATTGTAAGTTTTTGCAATATGATATATATATGATAGTTTGATTGTGTATTAAGCTTTGTACAGTGAGAAGGAAATTAAACCAAGAAAAAAAAAAGAAGAGATAAAATCATTTTTATCAGAGAGACAAGGATAATTGGAAGTATTACTTTATGACTGGTAGCAACTGAGGCGGCTGGCTCAGCATCAACGATATCTTGCAAACTCATGAATTCAAGATTTTTTTTAATGATGACCAATTTGAATTAGAGTTATCGCATCGAAATGATGAGTCAAACTCTACCGGCTGGAAACGTTCCAACAATATTGTTTGCATATTTATGATTACGAAACCAATGGGGATGAAACCAGTCAGAAAAAATAAAACAAACATTTTTTGAATCACTCAAAGTGTATTGAGGTAGAAAGATTCTAAGCCCAACTGTGAGAACTGTGAGAAAATTGACTTCATTAACAATGATCCCCCGCTAACGTGTCTAAGTAAGCTACGTTGATAACTGAATAAATTTGGCTGCAAGGATTTGTCGTCTTTTGTGAAATGAAATTGTTTTTCAGAAAAAAAAATTGTGATTTGACAAGAGGATTTTTAATAAATCTTGTAAAAGATATTTCTTGTTTTGTTAAATGATAATAATTTTTTATTTTAGGATAGTCAGAACAAATCTCAGAAAGTTTGAAATTTATTGTTTGTTTGAGATACCTTATGTTGACTGACAACAAAAGTTTATGAGGAAATATTAATTTTATTGATTATTTTTTTTATTGTAATGACAAAATAGGTTAAATATTGTAATCTGAAATATGAGGTAAATCTTTATGTCTCCCATGGCAGCATGCATAAAATTGATAAATTCATGTGCAGATAGACAACAATTATTCTTTTTAACCCAAAATCCCAACTTTATTTGACTTCCATTTTATTTTGTGTCATAGAGCAATTGAATTTTAATGTACACTGAATATTGATAGGGATTAACAAAATGTGGAGAGAGCGTGAAAAAGAGTGATTTGGGGATTGGGTCAATAACCACTAACATAGGGGGTCTAATTTTCCACAAGACAAGCTCTTAATAAGCGATGCAAGGTGTCAACGAAGTGAATGTACAACATGAGCACTCAGTGCACCAAACTCAAAAGTGCTCCAAAAACCACTCCTAAAAAAAGAAAGTGTAGATATTTCATAAAATAAACCTGTTTTGAAAATTCTCTGTGCTATACTTGAATTATCCCATCAGATGTATGAGAATAATGGGTAATCTTATCGGCTTGTAAGCAGGGTTGTGCAAATGAGATCCTGTCGTTTATTGTTAGTTTCAGTAGATAATCTCTGAGGATTTCAGTTCCTCTGTGTACGTGTATCTAAAGCAAAACATCTCCATGAAAAAGTATAAAAAAAAAATGTAGGCGAAAATTGCTGTGGCTTTTTCTGCTATTGACCCCAAAATATATGTATATGTGAGAAATACGTTAATGTTTTTTACTTTTATTAGGTGTACATACATTTGCATTCTGTTTTTATGACTTTTTAATAGTTTGATGGAGGCTATTTTATTACGCTCAGAAATGATATTGCCCTCTTTCATTTAAAATCGTTGATTTTGTTTGTTTTTAACTCATTTTAGGGCACAAGAACAAAGCTGATGAAGTAGGAGTACACACTGTCAGCTCTGGGGAACATGTATTGCAGTTATCTGAGAGGCTGAGTGAGCTGGAACATCTAAGGTGTACAAGTCAGAGTTTGGAAAACACAAGTTGCGGTCGAGATGTCTCGCATAGTGGCTACTTGTCGCATCATGCTACCTATCTTACAGGTAACGTACATATTACAAGCTACCATTCATTCCCCATAACTAACACTGATCACAGACAAGAAAATATCAATTTGTTTTTAATTCAATCTGTTTATCTTAATAACTTCTTCATAAATGTTGTAAATGAAGAGCAGAATGTTTCCAGGAAAATGAAATATAGATTTTAATATCTAGTATTGGGAACTCTGAAAACTGAATCTATGTGTTCACAAACAGAATATCTTTGAATTCACTCAAACAAATGCAAAATGCACACTTAAAAGTAAAAAAAAGTGAGAAAAAACACTTGGGCAAACAGATGACGCAATAAGAGTACAGGAAAATTACTTGATGGGTTGCCATGGTGATTAGAAGGCACTGTGCATCTTATCAGAATTGTAGTCACATATAAAGAGGAATGAAAATAAAATATACAGATTTATAAAATATACAAATTATTAAATATGTAATAGGTCAGTCCATTGTTGTCTTGGTTACAGTGTAGCCTTTAGCTAATGGAAATCTGGAAAAAATTTAATAGTGGTAAATTAAATTTTGGATGTTGAAAAACTTGTAGTTGATGTCTATAGGTGAGCCATGAATACATGTAAAACACCGATTGGGACAAATCCCCGAAGACCCAGTCTGATGATTTGTAGTTTTTTATGAAGCGCCTGACTTAAGCATTAAAAAGGTGTTAACCATTTCACTCATGTCTGAAGTCAGTAATCCCTGTCAAAGATTTCACTAAATTTCACTGTGATCATGTTTCCAGTTTATTAGGATTTGGAGTGGCTTTAATGCTGGTATTAGTGAACAAAGTAGTCGGCATCTGTTATACTCATCACAACTACAAACAACGCGGAGACCGTCTATACACTTGTTTCCGATATATGACCCAATCAGATTTTCCCCTTTCACTTCCTTCCTGCTGGACGTTTATACGGCGAATAGTTGTATACATAATACTATTGGTGGCTTGGTGAAGTGTAAAGAATTAGCCTCCATCACCATGTAAATTTCAGATACTTCCAGGAGGGATCTTCAGTTGCTATGGTGATGAATTAAAAGTTCACTGGCTAATGCCAACAATTTGGGCAGTGCAACCACTTCTATTGTGACTGTCTTTTTATTGCATTTATATCTAACAATGAAAAACAGTATTGAATAAATATTTGAGTGATAAATTTTCTGAAATTAAAGATACAGAGAAAAAATTTCACAACATAGAATATGCAATCTATGATATATATATATGACGAATTCTAAAGTTTATGTAAAAGAATGAATTTGCATCCAAGAGATGAGGCTCCAAGAGATGAGGCTCCAAGAGATGAGGCATTGTTGTAAACACAATGCAGGTAAAAATACCATAACATTGATCAGACAATTTATTCCTTAATATAGAAGAAAAAATGAGAAAATGATTCAATGGCACAATCTCGCTATCATGATTTGACTGTGCAATTAATCACCATTCAACTGCAATCTATCACGTTTTGACCATCTTCTGAAGCAAACACAATTTTATTCTGATTTTTATAGTTATCTCACTTTTCCCAGCTATTTCCTAAAACACTAATAATTTTAACTAATTTAAAATATTTTAATTTCATTAGATTTTTTATTTCATTAATTTGTAGTGAAAATCATGTAGTTTTGCAGATATGAATTTTCACTGAGTTTTTCAAGACACAGTTAGTTTTGTCAGTTTTGAAATTATCTAATGACAACAAATACTGTAGAATACTTTATTTTCGCTTGGAATTTATTTTCGCTATTTTTGCTGAAGGGATGTTTCCGTGAAAATAAAATCCAGCGAATATACTTTTTTTCCTATATTTTACATTAAACTCATCAAAAATCAGTGAAAATAAATTCCACACAAAACACCCAAAAAGTCTTTTCAGCGAAAATTAATTCCAGCGAAAATAAAGTATTCCACAGTAAATTTGACCATAGCTATTACTTAGAACTTGCAGCTCATTTATGATTATTCATACAATACAAGAACTGCTTGGCATCAACAAAAGTACTTTACATAGAACGGTTTCAGTCCGCGTCCTTGTGCAGTTTCAATACACTTTATAAAGGTACTTAGAAGCCCACCAATTTGGTGGACAATCACCCAGTTATGATTTCCAAGGTCATGAAATGAGAAAGCGGGATAGCATTTAACAATGACTTTTTCTAAACTTTGAACTGCCCTTGTTTATGGAACTTGAATGAATTCCAGGGAAATCTGACACATTAGATCAAAAAGATGAATGTGGTTCTGTTTTTCAACAAATCTTCCTTCACTGATTTGGTTTCCATAGTATCTATGGTTCATCAAACAATCTGTACCAAATTGGCTCATTCTGCCCCCATTGCCACTGTCCTTCACGCTTGATTCAATGTGATACAAAGTCTTTGAAGTTAACTTTATTATTGCCCGCAAATTTTTACTTACTCTTGGCAACACCAGCGACACCTGCTGTGAACCTAAAACAACTTTCCCAAAATATCCTGGTTCTGTAGTATTGATCATGTGGGTGAGAAATGGCTTGACAGTCACAACATGTTGCCGACTTAACTGTTGTCAATTGTATTCCTACAAAAAAAGAATTGTGTCAAGGCTGCTTCGTTTGCTAATGTGTCTTACTACAAAGGCAATTCAACTGATGCAAAAGAAACAAATTATTCGTGATTATTACAACAGAATTATTTTTAACAAATTGTAAATTACTAAAGGCCCATAAAAATTTTCAGATATCTGAAATAACATATTTTGATTTAGTTAAAACAAACCCAAAAAATAAACTACTTGGAAATTTTTTGCAAAAAGCAGGAAGAAATAGACATGCAGCTGTACATATCATATCAGCATGTCACACTACTTCTTAGCTTGAAACTTTATCATGATTAAAAAAAAGATGTTTTTAAATAAAAATACCACTAAATATTTCTAATGAAATAATTCTTTCTAAAGAAGATAAAAGAAATTTCCATCCATCTGCTCATTTTGAACTTTCATTTCTGAAGAAAAACCTGGATACCATTTATGAATTGAATTAAAGAATACATATTTATGAATTTTACAATGAATAAAAGTAAATGAAGTCAAAGCATGAAATACTGATATTGATTTCATTGATGAGAAAAAACGAGCACAATTCAGTCAATAAAAATAGATTGTGTAACTGTTTTTGTTACAGATCTCTCCTCTTCTAAAAACAGGTGACTCTATTGCGATATTGTTTTGGTGGCGGAACTCAACAACTGCTGGCCATATTGTTTAGTTTGATTACAGAGAAATTGAAAAGTGCCTACATGAGGCACATTGTTCCCTTTGATTTAAGGCATGTATAACAAGATGAGATTCAGTATTTGGAGGTATGTGAGAAAATAATAGCCCTGACAGGTCACGTAATGATAAATCTCTTATGTCAGACTTTTTTTTTTATTATTATTATTATTATGATGATGTTACTATGGATGAGAGGGGTTTGATGGCTTTCTTGATTCATGATGACATTCCTCAGCTAATTGTAAACATATATATAATACAATAGATAAAAAACAAAGGATTACAATAGGACATAAGACAATGGAATCTTTGGCAGTGCTCATGCAGGATCAACTTCCTGTGCTCCTTGCAGCAATGAAAAAGATTAAATCTGTCAGCCAGACATATCATCTCATTTATCAATGATGAGGTTTCTATGGTAATCATTGTTACCATGGTGACTACATCCCATGTGCCAGGGATGTTTATTGTGACTGCCAAGTAAAACTCAAATTTGGGGTGATTTCCAGTGAAGGATGAGTTTTATCAACAAGGTCGCACATTAATATTCTCACTTGAAATGGGCACTGCTAAGTTACACATAAGGGAAGAGAAAATTATGGAAAAGCTGTGATTTAAGCGTAATATGACACAGTCTGTGTTTGACAAAGACTAATAAAAGCTGGTGTGAGGGTGCATACCAAATAGGCTAATAATAAATGCATATAAGTGGTTTTCAACCGACTAAGACTACAAACACATTAAACACCATCACTGATGAGACCTGTGTCTTTGTTAAAGCAGCACAATACATGCAGGGAACAGCCTTGTTTTGAGCATGCAATGCTTCACTATGTTTGTCATGACATCATTCATCAATCTCTCACTGAATAACAAAATATTTATAAATGAGAGAAACCAATATTAATCTATCCGTTATACAGCAGCAGCCTTTTTTAATTATCCTTCAATTTTTTTTCACTTTTTAAGAAGTGTAAGTTTCTCTACAAAAGATTTAGGTCAGTCTATTGTTGTATTGGGTAATTATTGTGAACTTGCATGTGTCTTGTATCGTTGGTGTTTTTTCGGGGATAAACACTGTAATATTTTGGTATGTGGTTGTGAATATCTGGCCCAGATGCACCCACACAGACACAATGCCTTTTGTTATGTAGATGAACAAGGCAGCCTGCATTGGGTTATGCCCGTAGGCCGCTATATATGTATTCTAATTAGTGTCTGTTTATTAATAACCACTCTCGCCACAGATTTCAGCCACAAGTTGACTTACAATCAAGGGTCGGTTAGACCTATAGTAAACAGGAATAATTTGAGTTCTTGTGTTTGAGAAGACAGCACTGGTCAGTGCACCGCTAGGAATGCATGTACTTTGGTTGGATTGTGTAAAAGATAGGGGTACCAATATGTCTGAAATAAAATGGTAGGGATATTTCTGGTGATTTTCACAACTGTACTAGCACCCAGTTCTTTGCATATCAGCATGTAATTAAATATGTTGCCATGGAATACAAATAAAAATATTGATGATTTTAATGAATAGAAGTTTTTAGAACTGCATTTTGTGAATAAAATTTTGTATTTATTACAACATTTTACAAAGAAAAACACACACATACACAAAAAAGATTAAGCCATTTAAAATAAGTTTGCAAATATTAGTTGAAAAAAAATTATAACATACAAAACTATTCAATAAAAATTAGAAAAAAATATCAAACTATTAACAACAAATATAAAGAAAACACTGTATTCTGTGAAAATGTTTAACTTTTGTAACAAAATCTTCACAAAAGAAATCACAAAAAAAATCAGCAAAGTAACAATAATCAATTATCACTAATAATAATCTTAATTTAAATTAATATAAAAGATAAAAATAATTATTCATAAGACATTTATTTTAGTGAAGAAAACTTTTATTATGAAAAAGAAGTACATGATTGAAAATAAGAATTTTGAAATGTGTGATAAAAAAATAACATATGACCTGACATATGACCCACATCTACAATGTACATGCTAGTAGTATCTTTAGTGACGACTTTAGCGATCTTGAAAAAGTTCTATAAAATCATTGTTATTCGGTTGATGCATTTTTATTAAGTGAACACATGGCCAGTCTCTTATATGTGCACATTAACATTTTTATGTTCATGTGCCTGAATGAGGAAACCTATATAAATTATTATGTGCTATCAATCATGGTCTCTAATTTCTATGTTTTTTTTCTCTTTTCTTCTCTTTTTGTATTTTCTGATAGAAGGACCCATGGCAAGTAGATCATTATCTGGATGGCCTTATGAATACCCAAGATACTTTGCACCAGCTATGCAGCATAGTGTTCCACAGCCGACAGCAGGACCCCCTCCACCACCACCACCGCCACCCCCACCACCTCCGCAGCCTACAGAAACAACTGTAACCATAGCAATGGAAAGACCAACTGTTAGTAGCAATGAAGTTTCCATGTTAACGCCGTTATATCCACGATCCAGTGATCCCAGATTCACCGATTCGGGAGCGACACACATCACTTTGGATGCACGAATAACAAGCCCAATGATGTCGACACCGAGAATTACAGATACTCGATTTGTTTATCCTTCAAGTCCACACACTTTTACTTTCCCCACATCGGCAACAATACCAATATTGTCACCTGGCATTGATACAAGTCGATATTTGCCACTGCCATCACCTCACGATGTCTATCCAACATCACCGTCTACGCCTGTAACATTACCTGCTTCCCCTTATATATCAGGATCCCCACCCTACCAACTATATGCCCATTTATACAGCACGCCCGCGCCGGCATCCCATCCGCCATATTATGAAGGTACTCCACATTTATCTATGTTGCCAACCACAACAGTATCATCACGTATATCTACAATGATTGGACGCTCATCGCAGGGTAGCAACAGTAGCCATAGTAATGGTAACCAATCAACACAGTCAAGTCGATCAAATGGACGCCATGTGGCTGCTCCTAGTGGAAACCCGCCTTTGTATCCTGGCGATGACGAGGACAGAAAAGATGTGTGGAGACCCTACTAAAGCATAAGAAATTGGACAATAGCTGGGGAACAGATGTGTTTTTCCCGCTGACTCCTATCCATGCACTTTAAGCGGAGACACATGTTTAACAAACCAGTCATTCAGACACAGGGTCTAATGAAACAGTGCCATTTTACATCATATCAAAAATTGAAAAACTTTCTGTGAAACATACTTTCTTCTCATACTGTATGACGTTGTTTTGAGACAAACACTAAGATAGGTAGTACTGCAGTAAATAATACCAACCTTGCTAGGTAGTCTTAGTAACCGCCCATGTACTTGACAAAGCTTGTCCAAGGGATTGTTAGTTATTAATTTATAATTTGTCAAGCATCGAATTCAGTTCTTTTAATCTAAAATGTGTGCTCAAATGGTGAAAAAAAGCTTTTAATGATGGCAAGACATTGCCAGAGCACTTCAGCAAAGACAGCACAATGAGTTAATGTAATGTGTATTTGTATTGGGATTTGTGCAAGTTAGGTAGATGTGAATAATTATTTGTTCATTCATACAGTGTGATGGACGTGTGACTTAATATTTATACACTTTTATTTTCACCTAGTGTAGTATAATTTTCTACATTCCACCATTCTAATTTCAGTTACAATTTATTTGTATTTCTGAAAGTCTGAGTACAGAAGATATTCATTCAACAAACATTGCTTGGTAAAGAATGATACATCAACAAATGGGTCTCTAATGTTAATTTGAGAGCAAATGGTGTTCACTTCTGAACACATCTCAGTAAATGGTGTTCACTTCTGAACACATCTCAATAAATGGTGTTCAATTCTGAACACATCTCAGTAAATGGTGTTCAATTCTGAACACATTTCAGTAAATGGTGTTTAATTCTGAACACATCTCAGTAAATAATGTTCAATTCTGAACACATCTCAGTAAATGGTGTTCACTTCTGAACACATCTCAGTAAATGGTGTTCTATTTCAAACCATGTGACCATAATAATGTTCAATTCTTAATACGTCTCAGCAAATGTCAATGATGTTCTAAACACCTGTACCAATCTTTTGTTTTTATCTGATAATAATCTATTCAACTTAATGTTGTCCATATTTGATTTTCTAATATTTTTTCTGTAAAATGTGTAATTTTGTTATTCACTTTCATGACAGATTAGGTTGTTACCGTATTCCTTTTGTACATTTCAATCATAGTCACATAGTATAGAAAAGTGATATTTTTAATCAAATTTTGAAATGTGTTAATATTGTTTTTTTTTTTGAAATTCCACCTTAATCTATTTGTGACATTGGCAAAGAATACAACATTGTTCTATGTTTAATTTATTTTTGAAGTGCAAAATGAACCAAAAGTTCCTCAAGTTGCCAAATGAATCTCCCCTCTTGAGTAATAAACAATAACGAAAATAAAAAAAAAAACATTTAAAAAACTATTTTCTGTAATTATTTTTATAACTTTCTTACTTCAAAAACTGATCTTCATTTTTGTATGCAGATGTCTTTTTGGTGATAAAAACACCATTTTCAATATTAATCTAAGAGTGTTTTTGACAGAAAAGAATTATTTTTGAACATGTTGTTACCATGGTTATTAAAAGCTCAAAGCTTAGTAGGATTTATAATATATGGATATGCTGAAAGCATAGGTTGTATCATGTGTGTACAAGATAAGTGAATAACTTAATGTTAGGTATACTGAATGTTATCTTTGTTCAAGCAAGTTGTTTATTAATGTAATTTATGCGGCAATATTTTTTTGGCACAGACCAATGCAAGTACAGTATTTTGTCTTTCCAGTGTAGCAATTTTGTTTATCGTGTTATATATTTATATTTCAAACCTACCAGACCTGACCTACCCTCTTTGTTAATAGGACAATCCATTGTTGTAATTTTCATGAACACTTGATGGTAGGCCTTACCTACCCCCTCTGTTAGGAATGGAATGAACCATCACATGTAGAGGTGGTTTTGTTTTGTTTTTTATCTTTTGCAAAAAATATTGTTGCTCTGTATTATGCAATAAAAATTTTGTAAGCTTATCTTGTTTTGTTGACTGAATGAATTAAGACATGTATTATGAGTTTTGATATCAGAAAAATACACAATTATCTAGTTTTAAGATTCAACTTCCATTCTTGCTTTCATTGCATTGTCTACTGATACTAATGCACATTTTTTCGGAACATTTATGGCAACCATTTCAAGTTGATTTGATACTGTAGGCTCAGAAAAAACTTTTTTTCGGTAAATGATCATGAATTTGAAACTGCCGTTCTATATGATGAAGGTTTAATTTTTGGTTGCTTGACAAAGAACTTTAAATGTATGTCATGATAGTACAGGGCAAACTACGGACAATATTTTCTGGTTCAGCTGACCCACTAAAAAAGTATACCAGACGCATTCTGCAGTACTGCTCATTGTTTTGAATTACTTTCCTGCTTAACAATATATACAATAGATATGTGCAGCTTGCGTGGGACCATGTAGGTTGGGACAATAAAGACTAGAAATGAGTTAACGGAGAGTAACAAGTGACAGATGTCTTCTGTCCTCAAAGTGGTAATGAACTTAAATTTTATGCTACAAGGCACACTTGCACTAGTTGGCTATTTCCCGGTTTTATAACGTTTCTGTAATTTGGGTTTTATTTAAAAAGTAAATGGAATGTTGAAATATAAACTTGGCAGCCACAAAGTTGCTCTGTAAAAACCATTAGTCTTAGGATCATTTCTTGCCAATATATTGTCCCTGTACAATTTACCTCAGGAAGTAGAAGGGGAGGGAAAACTTAGGAGGGGTAGAATTGGAAAAATATTTGCACTTAGTGTAAACAAAAAAAAAATTTACATGAATTTCATCACAGAAACAGTATTAGCACAAAGGAAAAAATATTTGGTAGTTTTTTTGCCATGGTACCTCTTAATGGGAATATAACCAACATACTATCACAAAGTATGTTTATATGAGGACACTCATACAGAAACATTGGGGGGGTGGGTGGAACAATGACTAGTACAATTTTCGTCTCTGTAACACCTTGCATTCATTTCTTCTACCTCTTGGTGTCAATATGTCTGATGTGAATCTATAATTTGGGGTGGGGGGGGGGGTGGGGGTGTCAGGGTTCTATCAATTCCATGATCAACTAAAGAGAGCAGTAGACAACTTTTTGACAACTTGAAGTTGGGTTTTCAGAAAAGTTTTCATGCTGGCATTATATACAGTCAAGGTCAAATTCAAAATTTATGCAAGGGTGTATAGTTACAATGTCATAGATATCAGTAACTATAGCTTAAGGAAGTTTTACTCCTCTGCACACAATAGTTTGAATTTGTCACTCAAGGTTATACTACAACAAATAATTGCCCCCCCCCTCAATATATTTCCTTAATTAATCATTTATTCAACCAATGACAATTTAAAAAAAAAGTTTTTAAATCTTGACTATAGAGGGCGATATGTAGCATAATCATCTCTCATATTCTTGTAAGCCAAGCTGATTGGAAGAGTCAGTAATGTGGAATGGAATAAATTACAATATACCTCTCAGTTTATGCAAATCACACGGACAGTCAAATGACAACATGATTTTGACAAGAAACTCAGGAATTGAAGGTGATAAAACAATTAACTGTATGTTAGGCTGGATCTGCAAATAATTGTTACATCATATACCCCAAAACATACAGTTAGTAATTGTTTAAGATTATTTTATTTTCATCAGTAGTTAATATAACAGCAGCACAATAGAAAATATTTTTTTTTTGTTCATAGAGAAGGGAACAGGAAAAGATGTTTCCAGTCTACACAGGGTTCACAATATGTGTATGTAATGATTTAGTGGAAGCATATATTGTGAATACCGGTACCACCAATAAGCAAATTATTATGGAGGAATTTCTTAAAAAAAAAAATAATGACTTTAGAATTTCTGAAAGTCCTTGAGACAAGTTACAAATACCGGTATATATATTAATTAGGTGATATTCAACTGAAAAAGTTGCATTTACCACATAACTTATGTCATAAAATTACTTCTTGAGTTGCACACATTGTAAATTACAGTGATGGAAAGTCATTAAATACATACCTTCACTTTCACACAAATTTGATACACAGTTTAGAATAGAAACATCCAGAATATATTGCCGTCCAGTGTAGCATGTATTGATCACCGCCACTTCCATGGATCATTACTTATACGGTGAAGGTTTGTTCAAAATGGCAATGCTCACAAGTTTTCATGGATTTTGATAACCAATGATTGATGTGATTGTTTTGGAGAGTAGAATTCCTGTTTTCATGTCCACTTTCAAATGGAAACTGGATTTGAAGGAAATCTCTGGTCAACCAAGGGTCCTTGGATACACTAGTCTTATACTATTAATCCTTTACTTCAGGCAAAAAGTGCCACAAAAAACACAATACAAAGTGACTTTAACTCAATCCTTAACATACAGCTGAACAGTTTATAAGGCAGAGTCCTTGACTTACCTGAAGTACTTTGTTGCTTACTTGCTTGACAGTCATGTGATCAGATGGGTCATTCCAACTAAGGGTCCCTGGGATACACCAGCCTGACACAAAGTGACATTCTGTCTACTCACATTTTAGGTTGAATATAGTAAAGCTACATTGTACCTTAAAAATATGCCCTGAAATATCAAGCATTTGTGACCAAACTCCCAACTTATGTTGAAAACTGCTAATTTTCTTACTGAAAATACTCTTTCTGATCCATCACAAGCAAAATATACAACAATTTAGTCCGATTAAAGCATTTATTAAAATACATTACTGCATACAAGGTTTGAGCCACACTAAATATCTCAGCAAAACTAAAAACTATTAGTAGTCCAGAATAAACGTAAATTAAATTAACAATTTATATATTGGAGTAATTTTAAAATTATAATAGACCCGAGGAGAAAATGGCTGTCCAAATATTGTTGAAAGTGAGAGAGCTTTTTTCCCCCTTTCTTTCAACTAGTGTTTTATTCTGTCCCATCATTGCATCTACTGTTCCCACGATCTATGTACCGGTAACCATGGTAACAGAAACAGTGGATGTGAACACTATTTAAGAGGTGAATTCAAATGTCAATTAGATTTCATCGATTTCAGTGAAAACATGGTGGCCATGTGTGTGATATCTATTTAGAGAGAATATCAGAATGTGATGTAAAAATTAGATTCAATAGTTCATTTGTCAATCATACCACAACAAGCTTCTATTCAGGACACATCTTGTCCTGCAAAAATATGACACTGAGTAGTAATTATCATATTCAAAACATGTAATATTTAATAAATGTTTCACACCAAAACTTTCTTTGTGAAAGGTGATACAAGTCCTTGGTACTCAAAGATTTGATGAAGTATTTCTGTATTAACACACTGCCTGCTAAATGTCTCCTTGAATATCAAAATGAATGGAAAATAACAACATCAGTCAGTGATGTGTTTAGCAAATAGGCTTCTAATAGAAAAGAATAGAGTATACAGTATAAAACTTCTGATAATATTCATACTATGCAGTTTTGTTGTGGAGAAATTTGTATTTATGGTAATCTGAGAAAGTGTACACAATAAATATTAGTATAAGCACATTATCTTTATAAAAATCAATTTGACATAAAATTTTTAATATAAAATAATTTATTAGTACATGTACCACAGCCCTGCCCTGAACATCAGTAATAGAGCTTGCACAAACACTGCATGTAGAGAGAAATACAAGTGTATTTCAAGCAGGACCATATTAACAAATTTGTAACACTTATTGTTAAAATAATTCTGTTGATTTGTTTACAATTTCATTCATGGCATAAATCGTGTACAGTATTTTTTTGATCATTATGATGCACCTCATTTCTTGCTCCTTTTCAGTGTTAGATTCCTCCCTCCTGAATCCTTGACTTATTTCTATTTCTTATTTTCTACTGTGTCTGAGTGACTTTCGAATATTAAACTGGAACTGCTGAGTGACCATGTGATCTAGAATTTTAAACACTGATACATGACAGAATTCTAAGCTAATCAGAAAATAATTACTTAGTTACTGAAAGACAATATCCACTCACTCACGCTGTAAATCCCATAACATAAGTAGAGGTCAGGCCAAAATGTGGTTTGAGGAACGAGCCATTACGCTCTGTAAAGTAACACATTATTAGCAAATTTGTTACCGACAATCTTTGCATACTGCTCAACTGTCTGGTGATCATCTGTATTACGTTTGATAGCACGGTAAATCATATAAGGCATGGCTTGGCGTTGATGTAGTACCATAACTTGACTCGTATCCACTGGTTCATCAACTTGTAATTAAAAATAAAGACAAATAAAATTACATCTCATTTCACACATGGGGAAGCAGTTTACTTTGACACCAAGCTTTACAAATATATTTTAAACAAATAATTTTAAACCTAATGCTAATGCTATTTAATGACATGTACCAGTATATATATTACATTCCATTTTTTCGATGTACAGGATTTGAACAGAATCAGTACAAGGGCATCTGAGAAACTGGTGTGGAAAAGTGACAAAGAGATGGTTATTTAGAATCAAAATGCAAAACAAAATGATATGCATCAGAAATGCACATTATGTGATATCCATACCAAGTTTGAATGAAATTAAGCAATGAATGCTAGAGGAATAGCAGGGGGGAAAGGGTAAAATTAGATAAATTTGACTAACCTGCGTGACTATCATCGAGCTTCGCATATGGAGTAACATCTAACTTTGGTGTACATTTCTCCAAAGTTACCCAGGTATAGGCTTCCGGACACAGTAAAAATGATGGGTAGTATTGTCCCTATCAAGAGAAATATAACATATCAATTACCATATTTACTCTATTAGAAGCGCATCTTCAATAGAAGCACATATAAACCCGAAATAACATTTGTTGTATACTGTGTCATTAAAATATTATCGGTACTTATTTTGACCATAGACATACCTCCATAATTTACGTCAATGGATGTGCTACTAATAGAGCAAATACGGTATGTAAATTCAAAGAACAAGTAGAAATATGTAGCAATATATTAACGGAGTGAGTCTTACCTTGTACCTCATCTTAGGACAAGTATGGATATAATAACCCATATAATAGTATTTTAGCGATGGGGCTTTCTTTTGTAAACTCCTTGTAAATGCAATCTCTCTGAAATGAAACAGAATCATATCACTGACTGACAGCAAACATTCACACAGTGCAAAGTGATCTTCCTTGCCATTTTGGACTGTTATCTTTTATTAAATTGTTACTGCTAGCAGGGAAAAGAGGTATAATAATACCATACTCGACCGCGTAAGCGCCCAGGGGCCTCAATTCTTCGAAAATTCCCGAAGACTTTCCGGTAACGCAATGTGGAAGTGAATTATCGATGTCAAAGTACGATCTGTTGGAATTGATTTCAGCGAATAAACGACATGGTTTTTCCAAAAAACTAGTAACTAGCCATTTTTGAGAGATAAACTGAATATGGCATGAAATATTTACCGCATTTATTAACAGGTCATTGTCGAAGCGTAGTTTACGCACGATTACCACGTTCTACGCATTCACAACATGTTCACAGCGGTCAATATCCACGATTAACAAGATTCGTTACGCAAGACCAAGTTTTAAATTAGTTGCATTTTGAAGGGGTGGGCGCTTTGCCGAATGTGACCCCAAATATAAAAATTGCGCAAAAGTGGGGGGTGGGCGCTTGCCTGGGCATGGGCGCTAACGCGGTCGAGTACGGTAAGTTAATCACAAGAATATCGCAAAGTACGTACTCAGGCAGTAAAGGGTCGTATACTTATAACCTCATAATACTGTCACTTAAATGAAACTGGACCAGTTCAAACTAGAGAACAGTTGCACATGCAGTTCATTCAAATATTAGAAGAGAAACATATATGAAAAAAATAAAAACACATAATGGTCACCAGTCACCAATTTTTAATCTGTTCATAAAACCATACATACTGTTATCAAAACAGTTTGATTAAGATTGGTTGTCACTTGATAAACGGTTGTCAAAAAGCTGACAAACAACATAAATTGGTAAGAGACAAAGACTAGCAATAGATTGGCTTACTGTAATCCAGAGTAGGTACCAAGTGACATGAATGAATAATCAGGATCATAATATAAGTACACAGATGACACACAATGCGGTAGTATATCAATGACACCCACTGCAATTAACACACCATCTAACCAGTACTGCTGGTGAAAGGAACCGTATCCGTGCTCTAGACTATCATCTTCATCACCGGGCTCCAAAGGAGAATCAACCAGGAATCGGGTGAACTAAGATTAGAACAAAATAAATTATGAACATAACACAATGGTGATTTTCAAAAAGTACATTACATGGATGCAGCAAAAAAACAAATGGCTAAAAGTTAGAAATAACTTGCAATAAGTTATTGTATGTTTGGTTGAAATCATTGATGTGGATCAACACATTCAAATATTAAAATTTTATGATGGCCACCAGTCAGCCGCATTTAGGTGAGGGTTCTCCGAACCCGCCTATTCACATAGTTCATACCCACCATAGACTCTGGTCAGTCAAAATGACTGTTTTGAACTGTAGGCATTAATCAGCGATTCTGCT